GTCACAAAATTAAGAATGTAAAAAAAATTAATATTAACATTTTTTTTTTTTTTTTTGTTATACATAGAATACATTGACGAATTTGAGGAAATAGATGATCATCGTTCTGGTAAAATAGTTATTCAATTAAACGGTCGTTTAAATAAATGTGGTGTCATCTCTCCTCGTTTCAACATTCAATTGGAAGATATTGAGAAATGGGTTAATAATTTATTACCATCTCGTCAATTCGGTCATTTGGGTAACATTATAAATAAATTTTTTTTTTTAATTTTTTTTTATAAGGATTTCATTTTTTTAAATTTTATTCGTTCGAAGCATTAAAAAACAAAAGTCTAAAAGAGAAATGACTTTTGTTCAGTTATAACTCCGATGTATTGTTAAGTCCCAACATCGGATTCAAAAAAAAAAAATTAAAAATAAAAAAGTGTGAAATGTACCATGCTTTTGCATTACACGTAAGAACTTGACTACGACCTTTGAAGAAGGTCGAACAAGAACCTGACGTTTACCACGCTTTTCAGCGTTAACGATGTTATTAAGACAATCATTCTGCAAGTAAAAAGCAAATTTTTTTTAATATGAAGAACTTTTTGAAAAAAAAAAAAAAAAAAAATCGTAATGATGTGATTGATAATTAAAGTTTAACATTACCAAAACCGAAATTCTAACCATCTCGTCTTTATTATATTTTATCAAATAGACTTCGTTGACTTGCTAGTTTATCTATTTTTTTTTTTTATTTTATTTTTTTTCCGTATTTTATTTCCCCCAATACACAAATAAAACACATCATCATGGAAAAAGGAATAAAAAGGAAAGAAAAAGAAAAGCTATCATGAGTGTCGCTCTTATTGACATTTTATTATTATTTAGTGAGCGAGTCAAGCAGCGTAAGGTTACAAAGGGTATCAATTACTTCTCATAAATGATTCCTTTGCAACTAGTATAAAGAAGATCATGAAAAGGATAATCTTTTAAAAAACAAAAAAGAAACATCGATTCTTATAATTAAAAAAAAAAAAGGGTTTATCTCAGCAAATTAACATCCCTCAAACGTATTAAAATGAGTTTTATAAGGGATGAATGATTTTAATGAAGGATCCTTATGATTGATATATTACTCACCTTCGTAAAAATTACCACTAGGAAAAGAGGAAGTTCTCAAATATCGAGTTTCCATGTATATTTGAATCAAAAAAGCCGTTCAGTAATCAACCAATAGAAAGTTCGGATGAAAATTTAAAAATTTTCAGCCAATCATACTCGTAATGGAAAAAAAATTGAAAAACGTCACCATGAATATCGAGTATATAAATAACTTCAAGCGACAAAAACTCTGTAAACCCGGTCATTCAAAATGCCGACTGTTCATGTAGATAAGGAAGAATTTTACAAGGTGCTTGGAAGAAATTATTGTAAGTCTTTTAGGAAATTAAATGTCATGTCAAATTTCGTAACATTCGTGTTCAACATATTAGCGCGTATTACCTCAATTATTCGTTTGAAGAGAATGGCTGACAACGAACACTTTGGTGATTGAATTTTATTTTATGGAAGACAATTAATTGATCATGTACCCTTAAAATATTTTAGCTACAGATGAATTTCGTGAATTATGTTTCGAATTCGGCATTGAACTGGAAGAAGACGTATGTTCTATTATTTGATCGATGCGATTTTTTGTCAAATAAATTGTTAAACGCCTTATCATTGATCTAAGGCAGACCTCGGATAAAGAATTGTCTAGCAAGAAAGTAGGTGCAGCCAAAGCTGGTGATTTATTGGAAAGACCTACCTTAAAGATTGATATTCCTGCTAATAGGTAATTCGTTTAAATCTTTATTAATTTAAATTGGCATCGAATTTTCATTTTGAAATTTTTTGATCAAACAGTTTACGTTTTGAATGATTTTTTATCATCAGATATGATCTCCTTTGCCATGAGGGTATTTCTCGCGCATTATTAATCTTTCAAGAAAAAGCACAGCCACCCATTTACAAATTAGTTGAACCCGAGAATGGTCGAGTACAAATAATCGTAAAACCAGAAGTGGGTCAATTTATATATTGCGAGAATTTATTATGATGAATGAATAATTCCCCATGACAAAATTATTTTGTAATTTTATTTAGACTGCAAAAATTCGACCTTACATTGTTGGTGCTATACTGCGGAACGTTACCTTCACCGAGAGAAATTACAACAACTTTATCGATTTGCAGGATAAGTTACACAACAATCTGTGCAGGTATTAATAACTTCTCGTAAATATGGCGCAGCACAACAAAAATACATCACATGTATATTGATTTTACTTTTTACGATGTAGAAAGAGAACCCTTGTTGCCATCGGAACACATGATTTAGACACACTTAAAGCACCTTTCACATATGAAGCTCTTTCTCCAAAAAGCATCAAATTTGCACCATTGAACCAGCCCAAGGAATACGATGGAGAGGAATTGATGCAATTTTATGAGGTGAGAATCTTTTCGTGAAATGTATTTTTAACGAGATTTTATTAAAGTTTTACTGTTATTGTAATCTTTAGACCGATAAAAATCTTGGAAAATTTCTTCATATTATTCGCGATTCTTCAGAGTATCCTGTGATCTATGATGCAAATCGCGTAGTTTGTTCTTTGCCACCAATCATTAACGGCGATCATTCAAAGATTACATTAAATACGAAAAATGTTTTTATTGAATGTACAGCAACGGATTTAACAAAAGCAAAGATTGTATTGAATACAGTTGTCACAATGTTTTCCGAATATTGTGCAGAACCCTTCACGTAAGTGATACTATTATTTCCCGCTTTTCTATTAGATTCAATTATTTAGTTAACTAGAATTTTCCTGACAAGAAAGTGTAGAACCTGTAGAAGTTACATGTCCGGATGGCACAAAACATACTTATCCTGATCTTTCACCTCGTTCCATGAAAGCCAAAGTTGATTACATTAATTCGTGCATAGGTGTAAAGATCACCCCACCAGAAATCATAACGCACCTAAATCGTATGACTCTTGGCGCTAAAATTGCCGATGAAGATGCAACCGAAATTTTAGTAGAAATACCACCGACTCGAGCAGACATCTTACATGCTTGTGATATTATGGAAGATGTAGCTATAGCTTTTGGATTTAATAATATTCCAAAAACTTTACCAGGTAGTACCACAATTGGTAAAGCGTTACCTATTAACAAATTGAGCGATTTGGTTAGAAAAGAAATTGCTTTGGCAGGTTGGACCGAAGTTTTGCCCCTGATTTTGGTAAGTCGTAAGAAAAAAAAAAAATAATTCGGAAAAAAGTAACTTTTGTTTAATACATCATAATCTTTTTTTTTTTTTTAATAAGTGTTCACATGATGAGAACTTTGCGTATTTGAATAGAAAAGATGATAATGCTACAGCAGTAAAATTATCTAATCCCAAAACCTTGGAATATCAAGTTGTTCGTACTTCACTTTTGCCAGGAATTTTAAAAACTGTGAGGGAAAATAAAAAACATGCATTGCCTATTAAAGTTTTTGAAGTGTCTGATGTAGCCTTTAAAGATGATTCATTGGAGAGAAAAGCAAGGAACGAAAGGCACGTTTGTGCTATTTATTGCGCAAAAGTTTCAGGGTTTGAGGTAACAAAATTATGTTGAGTTTAATTCGTGGTAATCTGATAGAGATATTAACCCGTTTATGAATTTACACTAGTTCATTCATGGACTTGTTAACCGTCTTATGGACATGCTTCATGTTAAACTTGTTCCCACTAGCGGGGAAGATGTTGGATATTATATTAAAGAATCAGAAGGTGCATTTCACATGTATATTGCTTTTATAATCTTGATATTATTTTATTAAATATTTTCCTTTCGTTATTTGACAAGTAGATCCAACATATTTTCCTAATAGATGCGCGGATATTTTCCTTCGTAAACCTTCCAAATCATCTAATTCATCATCAACAGTAACAAGTAAAATTGGTAACTTTGGTATACTTCATCCTAATGTATTAGAGCATTTTGAACTAGTTTATCCTTGTTCAGCTGTGGAATTTAATTTAGAATCATTGCAATAATTTATTTAATAAAAAAAAAAAAATAATTAAGATAAAAGAATAATTAATAATATACGTATAAATATATAAAATGATATTTATTAAATATTCTTTATGCTCTTTTTTTTTTTATGGATAATTTCTTCTCTTCTCCCGAAGCATAATGCTTTTGAAATTATTATTATTTTTTATGTTTTTCTTTTTTTTTTTTTTTTTTCAAATCTATAAATTTGAAACGTATCGCAGCTGAATTAACTATACTAATTTTTTAGCTTCGAAAAAGCCTTTCAAATGTCGTAATTGCCATAAGCACGTAACGCCAAGGACAATCAATTGTACAATAGTCCAGTAAACTACGCGTGAATTGGTAAGTTCCGACTGATCACGGAATTCAGCTTCGCGTTCCTAATGAATCATTAACGAAATGTATTTAACCCGGGTCAAAAAAATCTTGTGAATTTATAAATAATTGGAAACTTACGCGTTGAAAACTTTGTTCTCTACGAATATCTGAAATACGATGATTCAAATCGCGTACTCTTTGTGCAAGTTCTAAAAATGATTAAAAAAAAGTTTGATTAAATTTCGATTATATATATAACTAAAAAATTTCAAAAAAAAAAAACCTACCACTGAAATGTTCCCTATCGTTTTCTTCTTCGGTAGTCGCATCTCCAATGGCCATATCTAAATGTAATTTCTTGATTTTAAAAATTGTTAAAGTTAGTTCAAAATCTTACACATGAAATTAATAGTTTAATCAATTCAAATATAAGTTATACTAACTATTTGACTATTCGAAAACCAAGCTGAAGAATTTGTAGTCAAACAAATTGCATGCTCTCCGGATTCTGCGGCCGTGAAAGTGAACCTCCCACGACTTGCACCTTTTTGATTAACAATTCGATGCATTACAGGCAATTCCTATTGAAAATAACAGAAATTTTTTAACTAAAAGCAAAACAACAAAATTTTTCTTTTGAAGGCGTTAAAAACATTCGTGGATTTACCTCAACGGTTATTTGTATTCCTAGTTGAGGGTTTTCAATATATTGCTGCTGTGTTTCTGACCATTCCTCAGCTTTATATGTACCTTTATATATAAAATAAAGGAGTTACATTTTTGTTTTTTTTTTTTTTGTTTAATTTTTGTTAAAGAAAATGTATATTATTCTCAATTATTTACCAACAACAAGAGTATCTTTTGGCAATTCTTCAAGGAAACATTTTTGTTCTGTACCCTCCAAATAAAAATATAGAGATGTAGCCGGTTTAATTAAATTACATAAAATAATGGTATATAACAAGATAGAGAACGTAATCTTTAATCGAGTTAAGTACATCTTCAATACTGTAAAGTTACGAGATCTTAAGACAAAAAAAAAAAAAAAGAAAACCAAGGAATTGACAATTTATTTTTTTATTTCGGACAGCTGTCAAATTTGGATTCGACAATTCCAAAAATTCCAATTTTTATAACCAATCACACAATTTTATCTCTAGAAATGAATTAAACAATACTAATCCAAAAACGTGATCAAATTAAAAATCATCCAAAAAATTATTTGACTTTTAGCATTTACAAGACGAACAACGCTCACAAGACATCAAAAATCACAAGACATCAAAAATCACACGATCCCCATTGGAAGAAATATAATATGTGTATTTTTCGGTCAATTTGTGTTGTACAAAATTTATCCAATAAAATTTCTTTATTTTATATCGCGTATTGAACTTAATAAATTTTATTTGTTATATAGTGAAGTAATATCTGATATATATTATTAAAAATATATATTTTTTAATATATACCTTTACATATCATATTTATAGCATATTATATGATATTTATGATCATGTAAAAATAAGTATAAAGTTTTAAAATGCAACTTTAAATTCAAATTTAACCATTTTTAATGGGTATATAAGATTTACTTTACCTTTAGCCAACAGTTCTCTCTTATTTAGTAAACTATAATGGTAATTATATATTCACTTACTATTATCTTAAAATTTTCTCTTCTTTTGCTTAAGTCAATAGAGTATCAAACTAGTTCGCTATTTTACAGTATGTATTAAATATTGATAATCAAAAGTTACCTTATAATTACAGATATAGATATGTTATTTCGTCTTCTATCAAAATCAACTACTGTTCAATATAAGTTACCTGTTAGGACTAATAAGGACAGTAACATTTATTATATAATATTTAGAATAAAGGATAATTAAAGGTATTAGAGTATATAATGTAATATAAAATTATTATAAGATAGGAGGTAAAGGATATGAGTTTATAATAAATAAATATTATGTAATAAATATCATTACCCTAATGATAAATTAATTTATTTATTATTTTTTTTAAATGACCTTTGATTATTTTGACTTAAAATTTATAATAAAAATAATATTATTTTAAAGTTATTTTAAGGTCATTTGCCAAGACTAGTTAGTATTTAAATATAAATAATTTAATATTAGCTGAGTTATTAAAATGGATAATTTTTTTACCTTCATAATATATTTATTTTCTTTAAATAGAATTATAATAATATAATTTTAAAAGATTACAAAGGATACATTTTTAATGATAATATAGTATATTGATTATTAAATCTAAAAAAGCTATACCAAATATATTACTTTTATTCCAATTAATTTTTATATTAAAATTGCAGTTTATATCACAAATAAGAGTTTATTCTATTTGTAAACAATACTACTATTTCAAAAAATCACATTAACTTTATATATAATTATAAATTATTCTTTTAGTTTTGATTTCTTTTTTAAAATTTTATTATCTTATATCTTTCAATATTATAAATAAATTTGTTACTATATATATTTATTATATTTACTTTTATAACATTTTTTTTAGTCTCTAATTTAAAATACTTTACTAATAAATTCTTATTTAATTTTGATCTTATTGATTTTTTCTATAAAATAAGATTAGTTTGATTACAAATATATTTGGATTTTCTAATAATTTTTTATTTAATTATATTTGTCACTTTCTATTCTTCTTCAATAGCTAAATTGATTATCATATTTATAATATAATTAATTATTTTACCTAATTATTATATGATTATTTGTATAAAATTCTTAAGTAATAATCTAATAATAGAATAATTTCAGACTGCTTTTGAGGATTTCATCTGCAATATGTCTTTTATTAAAAATTAAATAATTCTTATTTATAATCCTACTTTTTTAATAATATTATTTCATAATAATTAAATATAATACTTTATAAAGTAAAAGCTTATTTAGGCAACATTTTCAATAATAAAGTTAACAAACTAATAAAGAGCTATTATGATTCTTTTACTTTTAAATCAATCTTTAACATATAAATTATTATTTTTATCAATTAACTATCTGTTGATTGCTACTTAAATTTGTTAATTTATCAAAAATATTATAATATTTATTATTTTTTATAATTTCAATTATCTTAAACTAATTGAAAAATATATTACTTTCCTATTAACTAAATAGTCATTACATTTGATTTAAATAATAAAATTAATAATATACTGTACATACTGTATATCTTATAAAGTATTAGCCTCAAATATAAAAAATATTAGAAATATTATTAATATTAAAAGAATTTAAAAAGAAATATTTATTAGTTTATCATTCATTATAACTTTATATCTAATATGAATGTAATAATAAAACTTTTAATTATATATAAAATATCTTATATTTTAGATAAAAATAAAAGAGATTATTATTAGTATATAACTATATATGTCATGATAAATGTTTTATCAAAAACTTAATATATAATTTTTAATATATAATATATAATTAATTACATAATTAATTATAAGTTAATAATTATTTACAAATAAAATTAAATATGACCTGATAATTAATTATGAAAAATAATTAATTATAAGAAATTAATTAATTTATGAAATTTAAAGTGAACTTTAATATTAAAAGTTTTAATTTTTTATTATTATTATAATTAAATACACATTTGAAAAAGAAAAAAACTGCATAAAAACTAATAATTATTCATAAAAAATATAATATTTAATACAGTATTTAATAAATTATATAAATAAATATTCAAAAAAAATAAAAAATTCAAGAATTAATACAATTACAAAAAGCTATTATTTAACAAATATTAAACTAATCTTAATAAATATTAGTTTTAAATATATCAAACATTTTTACTTAATGTATAATAAATAGTTTATTTTAATCAAAATGATCAAATTAATTTGTAAAATTAAAAAAGTGACTTATTTAGTAAAGTTATAAAAAAATTATTTCTACACAAATATTAAACCAATCTTAATAAAAAATTAAATATAAATAGTACAGAATTTATTGAATAACTTTTACTAAAAAATAAAAGGTAATTGACTTTGATTAAAGTACTCAAATGTTAATAAAGTTACAAAAATATATATTATTACACAATTATTAAACTAATTTTAATAAAATTTTATATACAAGTAGTATTAAACCTACTAAATAACTTTTACTTAGAGATAAAAGGTAATTAATTTTGATTAAAGTGTTCAAATTTTCTTATAAAATTATAAAAGTGTAACTTATTTAGTAAAGTTACAAAAAAAATATTTACTGATGAATATTAAACTAATTTTAATAAAAAATTAGATATAAATAATATCAAATCTGCTAAACAACTTTTACTAAAAATAAAAGGTGATTAATTTTAACTAAAATGCTTAATTTTTATCATGAAATCTCTATATTAATATATATATATATAAAAAGATATTAAATATATATAAAATTAAAATCTACAAAAATAAAAAAATTACATTTAAAAGAGTTTTTTAAGTTCAAGTATTTAAGTTTAAAAATAAGTTTATATTTTTAAAGATTATATTAAAAAAATAAAAGTGTTTTTTTTGTTAAAAAAAGAAAAATATATATATAGTAATTCAAAAAAATTAAAAAATTAATTTTTAATGATATTAATTATGTAATTATAATTAATTATACAACTGTAATTAATTATCAAATTAAAGGAAATTGGAATTTCTGATGCTTGTTATAAGGCAGAAGTCTCTATCAATAGATAATACTATGATAAATCCTAATTCAACACCAGCCAAATGCAGATCATGATATTAATTTATTGCGGGTTTTACCAGTTCGATCCTGGGAATGAATATTATAGGATACGTATAAACTATGTACATTAAAGATTACGAACTTATAAAATATGATGAACCTATATGGTTGTGTAAGTAGTTACGTGTACATAAAACTGATTGAGTTTGAAACTTGTATTAGAGGTTGACTTGTAATAGACAAGTGCGTCATCGTTTGCAAGGGGTCATCCCTGATAACAGGACATGATGAGTCAATAGTAGATGTTATATAACTTAGATTGAATAAGAGTTATAAATTACAGGTGATTTTTAGTTGAAATGCTATGACATTTATGATTAAATTAGGGTTTGAGAGACCTGAGTTTAATTCTCATGGTGATTTTAACAATTTGAGTATATTAACTATATCAAACAGCTATCCTAAATTAAGTTAATAAAGACTTCTCTTTTCAGTAATTTATCAGAATTTATTATACTGACAGTATCAGGGATTAGCCATGCCCAATAAAAAATTTGATATAAAAATTCCATAAAAATATTAAGTTTTATAACGTATAACTTTTATGGAAAATCA